AGTTGTGTAGTACGATGTACTAAAAAGAACATAAGCCAATTGTTAACTTTAGTGTTTACTTTGAGTGTGCCCAAAGTTGCACTACAGAAGTGGTAACAATAGGTGCCGGGTCTCTAGTTACTTTTTGGTGTGTAAAGTAAGAGACTTTGGGGGTGTGTAGTGAGTGACCCCAATCCTCAGTAGTTGATGGACCTCATGACCAACCTGCTCTCAGCATACACACTTATCTTGACTGTCATGTGTTGCTGATCAAATCAGCAACACACACACTACATGCAGCAGGGCAAGGATTGCATAATGGTGAAGTCAAGGATACCTGGAACAAAACAGGTTATAAAGTAGGGGAAAGGCTTTGTGGTGAGCTACTACGGATTTGGCCTATTTGAGCGAGCGCGCTCTCGGTCTTGATGAATGCTGCACTTGCCCAGCGCGACCCCTCCCCTTTATTTCGCAAATGGGAGGGGTGGGGGGACGAAACTAAGTGGGGGCACCAGTCGAGACCAGGGCCTTTTGGACGTCTAGACAGCGCAGACTGTCACCATGGCAGAGGGCCTCGGCCCTGCAGAGGCCGAGAGTAGAGGTAAAAATAGTTCTTGAAGCTGTCCAGTCTCGCGAGCCGCACGCGGTAGGATCCTCGCGAGTTGATAATGCACCGAAGAAAGCCACAGTTAGAGAAGCTCCAAGATGGATATGGATATGGCCTAAGGGTCGCGCGAGCAGCGAGGGTACTTGGGGTGTGTGTGTGTGTCTGTGTCTTTCTGTTGTCTGTCTATTCTTGCACTTCAGGCTACGAGGCGGACCATATAAAGTGATACCAACGGCTTTAGCTGTACGACAGCATGAAAAAGATTTTCCTGGAACGACTGAGTTCATAAGCCAATTGCACAGGCTTATCTTCAGCCTGTTCAATGCGTGTTGGGGTGTTGTTCCCTTTCAGATATTTCTCTTACCGGGTTGCGCGTACGTATATTCAAAGGCGACGCCCACAGTTTATTCCACCAACTGATAACATATCTACCGGTGAATATACAGGATATCCTGTGCAATAACAAGGATGACCTGTGAAATATACAGGAAGTGATATCCGAAGCACGTTGAGTATATACTGCCCTAGAACTTCTCTACGACATTCCTCCTTGAAAACGGCTTTGTGGTGAGCTGCTCGGAGTACAGAAGGATAGCTTCGTTCTTTCTAACAAGAAGTGGCGAATTTAGCATGCACGAAGCATCTGTGGGTAAGTTACGTGGTTAAAATCAACAATAACAATAGATAATTAACTTTTGGAAGCTTAGGGGGGTGCTTAAGCACCCTGAGCCCCCCTGGATCCGTCCCTGGACGCCTGCAATGGTGCAATCGCCGAAGAGAACGAGCGTTCGGTCCGTCCGACCGACCCGACGGCTAAAAATGGCGGCGGGTCCGCGGCCGTGCCCAAATATGGTCCGAAAATGATGATGCGATCCGTTACCATGGTATAAATTAGTTATACCACGCCTACTTCGGGTCATATACCCGAAGGAATGTGTTGATAATCCCGAGGGCGCAACCCCCTCGTAGGGGTGGTATAACTACTACATACATTGCCTGTGCTGTAGCAAGCTTTTGTCGACGTGGACCGCATGGCCGGGTGCTAGTATAGAACGTGTATCTATGCTATTGTGCATATCAACACGTGCACCCATTCCTTGCGCCAAGGGTTTGCACTTTGCACTTTAGAGTACTGTTTCTGTCACCAAGCCGTCTCTCTTTTCCTTTCAAGACTAACTCACAACTGTTTCTATATATACTTGCCAGAATTTGCCGTAATACGTGAGCACTACAGTCTCCTGGTCAAGACAATCAGTAGTAATATCACCTACTTCGCTGTTAAATTTTACGAGAAGAAGTTCATTTCATACAGTTCAAAAAGGGACATAACAAGTATACTTGGCGTTGGAGAAGAAGTAATAGCTGATAAACTATTGGAGAAAGCTCTCAACAATTTAAGCATTGCAAGAAGCAAAGAGAAATGGTTCCATGTATTCACCGCCATATTTCGTGCTGAGTGTGCTTACCAAGATCTTGCCGACACAATGGAAGAATTCTATGCAGGTAATAAAAGCATGTTGTATGCATGATCTCAGTCATGAATTTTCGGTTGCTATAATAATTAAGGGACATGGTTTTCTAGGTTCTCGAATTAACCTCCAGGAATGTAGGCTACGGCGTTTTACCTAAATGAATGTGTGCCTTTGTAGTTATGACTACATGAAACTTTTATAGCTCTTATTAGAGCTACACGTTATTTATTGCAAGTGTATTTCAGAAAATTGTGGGTGTGTCTGTGGTGGCTCGCCCCTATATTCTTTTGCAGATAGTTGTCAATCAGTTGTTGTGTCAATACGTGCTGAAGTTGCAGAATTTGATGAAAGGTTTAGATTTGTTGTTTACAATACAAGATGTCACTTATACAGGCGGGAAAAAGAGCAGGACGATTTTCTTACCCAATTTAAAATGATGCTCAAAGATTTATCATTGGCCAAAAAGCACAGTAGTAATGCTTTCTTGAAGGAGAGAGAGGAAATTGAAAGTGCAACAAGTTCAGATGAAATAATTGATATAATTGATCCATATTGGAGCTTCTCTAATTGTGGCTTTCTTCGGTGCATTATCAGAATATTTGGTACAAGGGAATTAAAACAAGAAATGAAGACCTACGTTACGGACATAGAAGACTTTCAGAAGAAAACAAAAGTTAAAGATTGGTACATGGCTACGATGGGCGAAGCAAAGACAGCGGAACACTATGAGAGGTTGTGCATCACAGTAAATGAAGACTGGGAAGAACGCACACTCTATGATGCTTACCAGTTTAAGAAGGACCTTGACATCAAAGCTGCTATCACCAATGAAGCTGCAAGTCCTGTGATTGATTTTGACATTGGATCTCTTAAGATCGTAATGGCTTTTGCACCAGTGGTAGTTCCAGAAGTTAAAGTAGTTATTGAAGATCCACAGTTTCGACTTTCACATAATATTGTAGAAGCAGTATGGTTACCTTCTTCAACCTCTTCACTGCCCCAACCATCTAGTCAGCCTTCTTTGGATCAGAGAGGTATGTATGTGTATCACCTTCTGTTACTGCAGTGTGCAACAGCTCATTCATACACCTTCCTCAACAAGCCAAATATTACTGAACGCTATATGTGTCGGTGTAGCCAGCAATTATTTTCTCCAATTAAATCTGTTATATCTTGCAGGTTCAGAACGAGTAACACTACTCATCAAATATAAGGAAGAACGCCTACAACTTTCTCTGAATCTTTCAAGCAAAGTTCTTGAATTGAAAAGCCGTCTAGTGCAGTGTTGGCGTTGGCTTAAGGATTCCAGTTATACTCTAGAGTTCAATGATGAAGTACTGGAAAATCATGAAGAAATTCGGAAATATGGCATTGACGAAAAATCTATAATCATTCTCAAAATTTTCCCACTTGACAGCAGTCAAGCACCGCCCTCAGGGTCTCAGGGTACACGCAGTTTACATGATACTCTCTATCGCCAAAGTAAGTATCGTCCCTAGGCAAAATTGTTAACTTCAATATCCTTGTTCCTAGTGACTTACCATGAAGATCCTGAACATACTGCTCTGGAGAAAACTGAGCAGATACAGATTACTTATAGGACAATGAAAGGCTAGTCCTTCACTGTGTAGCTTTTCATGTGAGATTGCATTGCGTGGTACAGGGTATTCCTCGTGTGATAGACCCTCGCCAGCGGTGCAACTTATGTCTGACATAGATACGGGGTTATCAGGTGAGACATATACACCAGTGAATGTAATATTGTGTGATTCAATTATGCTACTTACCTAAGAGCCACAGAGAATTTCAGTTGTTGGATCAGCTACAGTAAACTCAGACATTAATTCAGATCGACTGGGGAATATCCCAGGTAATCAAAGTGTTGAACTATTTTGCAAACTAAATATGGTCCGTAAAATCTGCAGATCGAATTGAGCATAAACCCTCTGGTTCTATTACGCAGACATTAAAGACAGCAGGTTAGTAGCTACACTCACCACAGATAAAATTCTGGCATTTTATGTCACATAATAATATTATACTGCAGTTGAAGAAGTCTCATTGTTGCTTGCGAAGTACACTACATTGGCAAGTGAGCACTATATAGCACAGCAAGGGTGGTAATTCAGTAGTATACCAGGTATCAATCGTTATCTTGCAACTCTTTGCTTAAATTATCTCACCACGTCACTCTGGTAGACTTTGTGAACAATTAAACTATACCCATTACACTCTTTTTCCAAGGAAAAAAGAGCAGCCCTGAGTGGAAATTGAATACACTCTAATTTAATGTGTCAATGTGTAAGGTTCAGGTTATGAATAACTTTCGGTCTTTTTTCCAAAGAAATTGTTCATGATTTTGAATTATATGTTGTACAGCGCAAGGCTTTGAGTCTGCCAGTTTTGTTATGGAAAGGATAAGTATGTTTTACCACCAGTCTCAGAGAATTGGTAAGATTATGCACCAAGTGCAGTGTGCTAGTTAGCTATATACACTTTATACACTATATACACTTTGTCAGAATATTTCACATGATCTGCAAAACGAACTAGGCCTTCTGAACACACCATCGTTACTCACACATCCAGCAGCTCCATAGGTGTTGGAAAGAATCCCCCTTTAATGCCTATATAGGCTATTAATAATTATGCATGCTATATTATAGCCTCAGTTTTCCACACAGAATTAATGACCCAACTCATTCTGAAACAAGCTTGCATTTTTCTTCTGAGAAAATATGCATAATGTGCATGAATATAGCTATACTAGGCATTCTCGGCTAAGAAAATGTATTCTTGCACCACAAGCTCTATCAAGTGTCAGAAACCTCTTGGGTGGATTCCAGAAGGAATCAATCTGTGGGATAGTGAAAGGTGAGACCTACATAAACATGACGATCAAAGAGTAATATCTTAAGTTAATAGATCCCGAGTTTACTGCAGACAGTAAGATCAGAATAGGTGGTGGAAAGAACGTTGTAAAGGAGTTGTATTGTCCAGCCACTGTGGGTAAGTCATTCTTTCTTAGCTTCATCATACTAAATACATATCACTCTAGAAATGAAATCTGAGATGAAAGATATCACTAAAGGTGTATTCTTACTGAATATAAGTGAGTATCATTTTATATATACACCCAACGAATATTAACTGTCTGTTTTTTAGACTCCTAAGTTCCCTCCTCCGTTCCCTCCTCCGTTCCCTCCTCCATTAACTTGTCTTCTTTTTCGCTCATTTCCTTCTCCTTCCTAGGAGGTGCAAATATCAATATTCATCACAATGTACTTCACAAAGTGAGACCTACAGTGAAAGGTGAGACCTACATAAACATGACGATCAAAGAGTAATATCTTAAGTTAATAGATCCCGAGTTTACTGCAGACAGTAAGATCAGAATAGGTGGTGGAAAGAACGTTGTAAAGGAGTTGTATTGTCCAGCCACTGTGGGTAAGTCATTCTTTCTTAGCTTCATCATACTAAATACACATCACTCTAGAAATGAAATCTGAGATGAAAGATATCACTAAAGGTGTATTCTTACTGAATATAAGTGAGTATCATTTTATATATACACCCAACGAATATTAACTGTCTGTTTTTTAGACTCCTAAGTTCCCTCCTCCGTTCCCTCCTCCATTAACTTGTCTTCTTTTTCGCTCATTTCCTTCTCCTTCC